GTGTTTCAGGATTTAACAGGTGAAACCAGCCTCGGAGTCGAAAGTTGGGCGAAAAGGATCGAAAACCGAGAGAAGAGGTGAAAAAGGGCCAATTCACGGCCATCCGAGGAAGTTCACGGTCTTGCATGACCGTGAAGAAGATCCCTTGGCCGTGAATCGCGAGGTGTCCAGAGCCAAAACATAGGTTACTGGCGCAAGGTGAGTTCACGGTCACTAAGACCGTGAACGAAGGCTGTTGACCGTGAACATAAGAGATTGAAGAGGTGCGTTTTGGTGCACGCTTGCAATTCACAGACGCATTTCGTGGTTCAAGGGCGTGAACTCAGGCCGTGAACTGAGCGCGTCTCTGGTTTAATTGATGAGATGAAAGGAGGAGAGAGGGGAGAGGGGAGAGCCCACTTTGTGTTAAAAGTCTTCTTCAAATTTCTAGAGAGAGAAATACGAACCAAGGAAGAAGAAGGCTAGGGTTTTGCTTCAAGGTGGATTTTGGGCCAAGGAGATTGATAGCATCCGCCAAGATGGTTTCCTCTTCTTCTCTTTGTGTTTTCCCCATTTCTAGCATGGAGTAGATCTCCTTTCACTTGGGTGTTGTGAAACCCTAACTATACCATGTAGTTTCTTTTATGTGAATTGAATGATTGTCATTGGGTATTGTTTAATTCAATGATTGAGGTATTTTTCATGATTGATTGTGCATGCTTGTGCTTAGCAACCTAAGGGTTGTGCATGTTTTGTGCTTAGCATCCTTACGTTTGTGCATCTTGGGGCTTAGCAACCTAAGGATTGTGCATAATTGTGCTTAGCATCCTTACGTTTGTGCATCTTGGTGCTTAGCAACCTAAGGATTGTGCATAATTGTGCTTAGCACCCTTAGGTTTGTGCATGCTGGTGCTAGCAATCTAATTAGCCACCTTAACCTAGCTTAGAGAGGAAAATCCCCCTTCCAAGGGAGACTCAATCGAGTTGGTTTTCCTTCAGCTTTTAAGCCACCTAACTAGGTTAATTTAGGGCAACCCTCATTGTTGAATTAAGCAAATAGGTTAATTGTGATTAAGCTGTCCGACCTTTGACTTGAGTGAGGGAGTAAGTCAATTACCAATTGCCTAAACCGAGAGGGTCGAGTGACACAACCTTTAATGTTCACCTCGGTTTAGCAATTGAGATTATGGTCCCTGACCATATATGCATACCTCTGCGGTTCGCGATTACCTTGCCCAAAACAATTGTTCCAATTCACATATCATGGTAGTAGTTAGTGGAAGCGACACCCGAGTGATCCTTCCACAAAAGAGTTTTCGAACCCATTTACCTTTGCTTAATTTTGTTTTAATCAGCAAACTTTCAAACCACAACCTTGTTGCTAGATAATGATTTCAACAATTGAAGTAGAGGTAGACGGACTGGCACGGGTTAATATCTAAATACTTGCTCTATACTACACCCGACTAGAGTTTAAAACTTGGACTCTAGTCAGGATTTTTTGTGGTGTAGTTTCGTGAGAGTCATCCGCTTTTTTAAAATTTGCTCAAACCGCCTATTTTGTTCTCATACGATTTAAATCCCGATTTTGGTATGATTTCATGATTTTAACAATTTTATTCCCGATTTTAAACGATTTTAAGGTCCACCGATTTTATAGTAAAATAAGGATCGAAATCCTAAGTAAAATCTTAAAATCCTACGATTTTACGATCAAAATCCCGATTTTGACTGCTTTGGTCACCTCTAGTTCATTCTCCTTGTCCATATTCTAGCTCTTGCCAAACTCAAAACTCTTTGTTTAGTCTCTTTGTTCTATATTAAACAATCAAATCTAATTTATATATTAATTATTAATTGTAAAGGTAATTAAGTTCGTATTTGATAATACTGATTGGGATACCAAAGTACCGATTGAGATACCAAAATATTTAGGGATTGAGATTAGGATATCGAAATTATTTAGGGATTAGGATTGATTCTAGAGTGTAATTCGGTATTCGAAATATCGGTATTTGGTATTGGAATAGCGATATCATACCGATTTCCACCCTTAGCGATAGTGAGCAAGAAGGTGGTGAGCTTGTCTCTTTTCTTCCCTATGATCTTCTCACGAGGTGAATTGGGAGAGTGTGGGGAGCAAGCTAAACGTCGCCATTGAAGTGACGAGAAGAAGGGGGGAGGAGGGATGTGTTCTGTTCTCTACAGGTGAATGGGAGGGATGGAACGGATGAATTAAATTAGCAATTTTAATGTACCATATGGTATCTAACACATTCAAACTTCAATAAACAAACAAATTTGTATATCTTACCTCCTGATTCACCAGAGTTAGCTGAATGACCAAATCCAAGATCGATAGATGAAGAAGCAGTTCCAACAACGCTAGATGAAGAACCAGATCCTACAACGCTGGTTGAAGAACCAGATCTATCAAATGGACAACATCGCCACAATTTACGTAACTCATCTCACCAGAATACTGCAAAAAAACCAAAACACAAAGAACATAACACATGAACAAGCTCGATTAGCTAAACAGAACACACAAAAGAAACTCAGAGAAGGTAAATTCTACAAAACCTCCAACGAAACCAGAGAAACTCAAACACGCTCGATTAGCTAAACATGAACAAGCTCGAATAGCAGCAATGAAAAACCTCCAACGAAACCAGAGATCGTCAAAACGCTCAACAAAACCAAAGATAAACAGAAAACTCAATTAGCTAAACAGGAAGAATAAAAAAAACTAATATCTAACCTCGCCGTCGATCAATTATGGAGAATCAGAAAGCTCGATTCGATTAGCTGCTACTCGCAGTCTCCATCGCCGTCGATCAATTATGGAGAATCAGAAAAGATTCGCCGTCACCTGTTTCTCAGCTGCTGCTCGCAGCTTTCTCTCTCCAAAAACCGAATTCAACTCGCGCACACGTCGATCAATTAGGGAGAATCAAAAACCTCGATTCGATTAGCTGCTGCTCGTCGATCAACTATGGAGAATCGCCGTCCCCTGTTTCTCAGCTGCTGCTCGCAGTTTCCCTCTCCAAAATCCGAATCCAACTCGCGCACAGAAAAAGATCCGCAACGGACAAAAGGGGGAAGTCGTTAATTCAAATTTCGGACAAAATTGCCCCTGACCATCACCGCATCAACCACAGCCACACGATCAGCCCGGCCCAGATCTACGGTCCTAAGGTGGTTACTCACGGGTGAGTAACATAGGGTTACTCACCCTATCCCAATCCCAAGCCTAGTTTCACACAATTAAATTAAATTATAATTTTAATGGATAATTGGGTTATTTTCCACTTCACTTAACTACCATTTCACAGAATTTTTAACGAAATTGCATTTTTGTGATGTGCTGATATTAGAGGGTACGTTTTTGCAAAAAATATAATACATGGGCACGTTTGTTAATTTGAAATAGTAGAAAACAATTAAATCATTATTTTAGTAGAACATTAATTTTTCAACCTAACCTCGAATGTGATTAATTTTTTATCGGTACAAACCTTTTGTAACAATCATCTGTCATTGTGATTATTATTATTAGTTTGAATAATATTGTTATTGTGATTGATCGGGCTTTTTTTTTTTGTGCTTTCCCCTTAAAATTATCCAGTTCAGGCAAAAAGAACTGAAAGAAGGTACAGCCTGTCCGGGCCGCTCGGATCCACGTGTCACCAGGCGGGGCCCTGTCCTTGCAGATCTAGCAGGATCACAGAAGATTGTGCAGCGAGGACTTGTATGCTCGGCTTTTGATTTTGTCCACGTCGGCAGAGCTCGGCAGTCCTACGTGGAAGCTGGGGAACGGTCCGAACCCGAACCTCTCGCTCCCATCCACATGAAAAAAGGGAAACTAAGCTAGTCACTCGTTTACTTGCCTGCCTGCTCTCTCTCTCTCGTCAATCAATAATCAATCCTCTTTTCCTTTCTTTCCTCCTAACCCAATAATAATATCTTCCTTCTTCTTCTGCTTCTTCAACTTCTAGTCTTTCCTCTTTCTTCTTCCACCCGACAGGAGGGTCGGCGGCAACATTTTTACTCATATGTCTCTGTTTCAGACTCCTCTCAGGCCCTTTCTCCCGCCAAGCAAATTAAATTCCACCACCAATTTCCGTGATTTCCTATATTTTGCTCCCCCTTTCTTCCTCTAATCTCTGTAAATTCGGCCGGAGACTGATATTAGTTACTAGTTAGGTTTAAGGCTAATTGGTTAGGTCTGACTCCTGGAGGAATCGAGCTCGGGTAATAATTAGTTGAATGGCGGGTGAATGAATGCTCTCTGTGCATAATCAGCCTCCGGTCCGGTTTCAATTTGTTTGGACCTCTGTGTTTTTTGCTTATCATGTTGGACATGGAGATTTGTGTACCCGTTTTTCTATTTCTGCTGTCTGCTTTTCCTTACCTAATTCACGATTGCTTCTGGCTCCGCCTGTTTGTTTGCTGAAATTGAGATTGTGCTGGATTAATTGGTCCATGGGTTGCTGCTTGTTTCGGATCGAGATTTGTGGCTAGAAGACCGCTGAGGGACCTTTTTAGCTTCGTATTAGGGTTTTGATGTGCTTGATTTCATTTGGTGTGATGTTTTGTTTTGCATGTGAGACCTGTTTCATTTCTGGCTGGTTGCTAAGTAGCTAGGATGGGGCGATCTGGTTTCTCTTTTGAGTCATTTGAATACAAGTTCTTCATCTTTCCGGTTGTTGAACGGTTAGATATTTAGCTATTTCCATGGGGTCCTCTGCTTTTGCAGGGTAAATTCAAGTACAAGTATAGTGGAGGCCGGCGATAGCCAAATTGGGTGTGCTGTGTTTGCTGCTGGGTTCATCACTGTATTTCCCTGTGATTCCCGCTTTTTAAAACTGGGTTCAGCGGTATACATTCTGGTGAGGTTGTGTTATTGAAGGTGAACACCATTCTTTTTGTGGGCTGAAGAGGATGTACCGATGTTCACTGTTGGGTGTTCCTAATCATAGTTATTCATCACTCTTGAATATTGACAGAAATTGTGCTAGATGAAAGTTGATGGGGATGGAGATAACGGTGGTAGGGTACTTAATCACCTGCAGCTACCCTGTGTGAACGAGAGGGGTATTGAGGATGGAGTTGTGAATAAAGATCAGAATTCTGTTGAAATTGGTGTCTGCAATGACATTGAGAATGTGAAAGATCAGCATGCTGGGATCATTCAGGTCCCAGCTCCAATCCAAGTACCACAGCAACAACAATCTCAAGGGACATCAGTATGTTGGGAAAGGTTCCTTCACCTTAGAACACTCAAGGTTCTGCTCGTGGAAAATGATGATTGTACCCGTCATGTTGTTGCTGCCCTTCTTCGTAATTGCAGCTATGAAGGTTAGTTGGATAAGTTCTTGACCATATACTAATGAAATTGAGGCCAGGATTACAGTTTTGTTCTTTTAGCATGTGTTCGTGTGGTCCTTCCCGCAGTATGGTAAACTGGAGCATCAGAATATGAGTTGTTTTCATGGAACATATTTTCTTCCAATTGAGGCTGTTTGTTGAACTTCCATATTTATGAAGATACATACAGAACTTAAGAGATGCATTAATATAGTTGGAGTTGTTAATTAACCATATGTTGTTAGTCCTTATCACATAATTTTGAGTTCTTAATCACAGTCTTCAAAATGGCATTCCATTGTTCTAGTTTCCCATTTGAATAACCTCAAAGTTGCCTTCTTTGACATCTTGATATTTATAACCTCAAAATTCTACTCACTCCAGTTATTGAAACGTCGAATGGAGTGCAAGCTTGGAAGATACTAGAGGACTTGGCCAATCATGTTGACATTGTCTTGACTGAAGTTGTCATGCCTTTTGTGTCTGGGGTGGGTCTTTTGTGCAAGATAATGACACATAAAACACGCAAAAATGTTCCTGTAATCAGTAAGTGTACTTATTAGTCATTCTTTCATGAGACGTAATATTATGATTCCATCGAATAGATACTTTTAACTGTGTCTTTTCTGATGAGATTTGTGCAGTGATGTCTTCCCACGACTCAATGGGTTTGGTCTTCAAGTGCCTTTCAAAAGGTGCTGTTGATTTTTTAGTCAAACCTATACGAAAGAATGAACTTAAGATTCTCTGGCAGCATGTTTGGAGAAGATGCCATAGTGTGAGTACCTGAAATTTCTAATTCATACTATTACAACCCTGAAAAGTTCTTATGCATACTTGGCATTCTTATCGGTTGTCATTACAAAAAAAAAAAAAAAAAATTAGGTTACCACTTCTTTTGGCCAGTGCACCAGTGGCCTGAAAGTTGTAATTTCCTTTTGAAAATGGGAATGCATCATGCTTCATTTTTCCTCAGGATCTTGTATTTCTAATGTGGCAGTGCTCAATCACTTCTAATATCCCACTCGTGTAAAGTGTTATTGCTCTATTCAAAGTGAATCAAAAGGACTCCACTTTTGGGCTGAGCAAGTGATTGCTTTCTTTTCCTCAGTCTAGTGGCAGTGGTAGTGAAAGTGCCAGTGGTACTCAAACTCAAAAGTCTGTTAAGTCAAAAAATGTTGAGAAATCGGGCAACAATGCCAGCAGCAATGATGATGATGATGATGGGAGCTTTGGTTTAAATGTTGGTGATAGAAGTGATGATGGAAGTGGTACACAGGTATGCTTGGTGTTCAAGCTTCCTATTTTCTTTTTGCTTCAAATATTTTATGTGAAAATGAACTCGAATAGCAGTAGTTGGGGCTTTTTAAGTCAATAAGACGAGTATTCATTTAATTCAATTTGCAGTTATTTGGTATTTCACGGAGGAATAGAAAATGGAATGAAAAAGAGAAGTTTATTTCATTCATGGACAATCAATGGGCTTTGAGTAGCTTTGATTGAATTTAATCCATGCGAATGTTTCTAATGAATATGCAAGGGAATCTTGATAGTACAATGTTATGAAACGTCCGTGGATTGTTAAGAAATATATGGATCATGTCTTATGCAGATCTCAGTTAGGTTTTAGTTTCTATATCATGATGAGATTCTAATCTGATTGTTAGAAATGAGTACTGACTGAAAAAGTATTAAATAAAAATTTCTGCAGAGTTCTTGGACAAAGCAAGCTGAAGAGGTGGAGAGCCCTCGAGCTTTGCCTCAATGGGATCAAGTTGCTGAGCGCCCTGACAGCACTTGTGCCCAAGTCATTCACTCAAATGGTGAAATATCCGGTAACAAACAAGTTCCTGTATCCAATGGAAAGGAACATAAAGAGGAGCAACAACAACTTGGTATTACAGAAGTTCTGCATTGTCCTTTGTTCTTTGTTTTTCGTTCATTCATTCGTTTGTTATTTATTTATTTTTTGCGTGGAGCATCATCTGATATAAGTTACTGTATTTCTTTTTATTCCTTCAGAGAATACTAGTATTGTTAAAGATCTTCAAATTGGAGTGCCATCAAAGCCAGAGTTGCAACTCAAGTATGCAGCTGCTGAGGATCAGAAGAAACTTGCAGGAACAAGGCCAAGTAATCCGGTTGAGCAAGGGTGTAACGTATTTGATGAGAATGACAGCAAGGAACTGCTAGATATTAATAGTGCAAATAATTTTCAATGTGAAGTTGGTAAGCCAGCTGGCCTCACTCATAATGCTAGTGAAGCATACATGGACACTACAGAATGTAAGATCTCAGATACCGTAGTCAAGGGCAGTACTGACCCTAAGGGAACAGCGGCATCATTTGAAGTAAATTTGAAGAGAGTTAGAGGAAGCAAAGATGTTAGAAAGAGTAATCAGGATGAACGCAATGTACTAAGACGTTCAGACTCTTCAGCCTTCTCAAGGTATTTTTAGGTCCTGGAAGTACACCTGAATTATGAGTTTTGCTATTTTATACTGTCCAAAAATCCTGAATACTAATGTTTTCTGCCTTGACATCACAGGTACAATGCAGCAGCTTCAAATACATATAAGGCTACTTGGGGCGGGAACTCCCAAAGCAGTCCTCCTGTTGTTTCGAGCTTTGATGTTGCCAGAAAGGGAGCATTTCATGAATTTTGCTCTCATTCTAACAACAATATTCCTAACCAGCGGTCAAATGTGGGTAGCAACACTGTTGACATGGGATCCACGACGAACAATGCTTTCCTTGATTCATCAGTCTCGAAAAACAAATCAGCAGTAACATCCATGGTCAAGCATGCAGACCCTCCATGTACTATTCCTCCAAAAATTGCCTTGGAAACAGCTGCTGATAAATTGGTAGCAACTACAACACTGTCTCAACCAGCTAAGCATGATGATTCTGCATCGAAGAAGAAGGTGATGACAACTCCGCATGGTGGGTTATCCAATGGCCACTGTGGTGGGCCTCTTGAAGGCAATAACGCTTGCAATTGCAGCATCCATGGAAGTGCATCAGGTAGTAACCACGGGAGTAACCATGGGAGTAACCATGGTAGTAATGGGAACAACAATGGAAGCAGCCCAGCGGCAGTTGATGCTGGAGGAACTAACATGGAGAGTGGTAATGGAATTGCTGAGAGGAGTGGAGGTGGTGGGAGCGGCAGTGGTAGTGGCAGCGGAGACAAGCTAGATCCGAGCAGGGTTTTACAGAGAGAAGCTGCCCTGACCAAGTTCCGTCAGAAGCGGAAAGAAAGATGCTTCAGGAAAAAGGTGAGGATAATTTCTTTTGTGGAACTTTGTTCAAGTAATTCATTATCCGAGTCGTTTACTACATAAGTGGTTGCTATGAGGGCACAGAGAAATCGGCACTCAAGTTTAATTTGTTAACAAATTTGTCATCGAAGTTTGGGAATAACTAACATAACAATCGTCTCCTTTTACAATGATTGATATGTAGTTCACTTTGATTAATCGTTGAATAGGTAACACAATCTCTAAAGTACAGGGTAGGAGGGATGTATTAAATTATATATGTTAATTGACAGAGACGGTTTGGATGGTGCTTGATATAGGGACCGAAGCTAACACAGAAGAAATAAGTGACTGTTCGGTTGGGTCACAAATTTGTGTACAATCAGAGTTTAGCATCTGATCTGTTGGTGGCCTAAACAATTAGTGCCATTGACTGCTTTCTGAACTTGGTTTGGTGATGGCTTTCAGGTTCGGTATCAGAGCAGGAAGAGACTTGCGGAGCAGAGGCCGAGAGTGAGGGGGCAATTCGTGCGAAAAGATGCCAACGAGAGCACTAGTGGAGAAGCGACAGATAACTAATTCAGACCCTGCCTGGCTAGATAACCCTTTACGCCTAAGTATCCAGATCCAACTCGATTGATGCCTCTACACAGAGCCAGACGACCTGTTGGTTTGCATATGAAGTTACGTTGGTGCTGCTTTAGAACAGACGGACATTGAACTGTGTTTGATTTAGTGGTGTTAATATCTCGGGGCTGATGTTGCAGAAACCTTCACCTTCACAGACCGGTTCTTGTTGGTTGTTTTATGTCTGGAAAATGTAATGTAACGTTTTGTTGTATGTCCAGATTCTCTGCCATCTTCGGATGCGGATGGCTCTGCGAATGTGTGCCGTGAATGTTTTAGAGGGATAGTGAAGGGAGTTGGTGATTCATTGTGCTATTTTCTGGAACGCGATGAACATCTAGAGGGATATATATTTCTGTGGGAGAGGCTAGTTCATTAGATTGATTGTGGCCCTAAACAGCCTGGCACCTACTTAACCTCCCCACAGCACAGGCATTGGATGAGGACAATACGATTCCCCTTGGCGCCTTGACTCTGTCACAACTCACAGATATTTGGGTAGAGATCTGAATCCTGTCTTTGATTCTTGAGCAATGAGAGATTCATCAGGTTTACATGGTCTTCCTCCTATTGCAGTATACAAGGCAGAAGGCATTATTGCCATGCCATGCCAACTAGTATTCTGTAGGGAATCCACCGAACAGAACATAACCCCATTTAGACCCAAGTAGTTCTTCATCTAAACAAAGAACGCGAAACTGATGAGAGTTTCTGCTTCTGGTTACTAGCCAGTTGCAGTTCTCAAAAATGAAAATGTTACTACTTACTAGCATTGTAACCGGCCTGTTGGCCGGTTGGTGGGTCATATATATATATTTTTTTTTTTTTGGCATAGCTTCATGTGAATTTGATAAGAAGGTTATTTTATACTAATGATTATTATTAAGAAAGTCCGTGTTTGGTGGAGTTTGATTGGCTATGTGACAGTGATTCCATCCCTTCGGCTTCATGTTCGTGTTTCCTTCTACTTAATGCCATAATGTGCATATTGGTGGTGTGGCAACTGCATTTCTTTTCATTGGGTTGGGATGAAGTTCACAATTATAAGTGGTTTGGATGCCTAGACCCATTAAAAGCACAAATCCTACTATAGAAGTCGACCTTCAAACTCGATACTATTCCGGATGAATTTTCGCTAACACCATTTTGATGTGTTCCGATTCTTCTGGATGAGAATCATGTTAGGCAAAATCGAGCTCAATCATCATTATGCTACCAAGCCTATTGCTCAAAACAAATAGTATTCAGAATTCATATAATACCTTGGTGATTTTAGATTTGATTTGGGAAAATTCAATAGTCTATCATCTGATATACGTGACTTATGTTTAACTTACATAATACTTATAGAACACCGTGTTAAGTAATGTACAAATTCATTATGCAAAGTACATTATATCCTTACGTAACAGCTTTTTAAAATTGTTACATAAGCAAACCACCTCCAAGGAATATTAACACCTCGTACTATTAACGGTTAACTCATACGTGACACATCTGGTTTAATTGTTACATAATAAATAATTATCGTTTCGCAATGTTTACGTAATTTATTTGTATCTTACATAACAATTGTAGAATGTGATTATTCAAGTCTTACTTAACTTATGACATTTATATAATGAATAATGACATTGTATTACGTAAACGGTCAAATCATTACAAAATTCTTACCTGACAGGTCTACTTTAACTGTTACAAAAAAAAATTGGAATTTCGTAAAACCTTTACATAATGTATATGAATATAACATAATAGTCTCTAAATGATATTTAATAATTAATGACTGTTTCAAAAGTCTAGTTTAGAGGTGTTTTGTCCGACTTCAACCTTTGAAGGAGAAAAACATTTTTAAAAGTTGAGCCAAACATGGGCATTGTAACTTTTTCAAGCCTAGCTTATAGAAATGTTTGTAGGAGACTTCACTATAGTGAGACATGGGGTCTTGGGTAGATGTTATTCTAACTATTGTCTCGTCATACCTTGAAAAGAAAAGAAGTTTCTAGATGTGTTTGTCCGGACTTTAACTTTTAAAGAAAAAAACACTTTTAAAAATTGGGCCAAACATATGCATTATATAATATACACAAAGTTATTGTAGGAGGTGCCATGAGTTGATGCAAAACAAACTAAAAATTATTGATATCCATAATTCAGTTTACTAAGAGTATTTACATTGTTCTTTTATTTTCAATTGCATGATGACATTGATATGTGTTTTTTAATTGCAAAATCAATTGAATTAACTTGGCCACCCATGACATATTTGCAATCTTGCAATAAATCTAATGATATATGAAACTCAAAGTGTTCTAAAAAATGGGATGCTGAGCTACTGTGGTGGATTTCTCAATTCTCTGTAAAAATTTCATACGCTCTAAAATCTACACATTAATTCCATTATTTTACCATTTGAGAAATAAATTGTTAAATTACATCTACCCGGACAGCACCCATGCAGACACTAAAAGCAGTTATAAATTAAAAGCAGTCTGACGTGGTTGATGCCGTGGCCGATGCCGTGGCCTTCTCCGTTAAAAATTCAATAATAGTAACGGATAGTTAGCCATATCTTGACCCGCAACAATAATTATGACTAATAATTTGAATTTACATAGTTGTGGCTATAATTACCCGCTTCATAATAGTTGTGGCTAATATATTGTATTTATCCTATTATTTATATTTTCATGTTACGTTTAAGTCTATCAACCCGTTTAATTTTATTGACAATCCTTCAATAGAGATAATACATAAAGAATGAATATATAGGTAGAACATTTGGAGAAATATCACCATCATTTAAGAATTTAAAATATAAAAATGTATCATTGATCCGATTTTCATAATAATAATAATTAAGTCCCGGTAAAATGTCATCGGTTAGTTGATTGTCAAGAAAGATATAGTATAAAAGCTCACTGAAATTGCCACATTGATATGATCCAAATCCAAAGAGAACCCTCGAACTCGGATGATATGACCAAAGTACGCAGCCTTCCTACTTTTTAAGGATTTTCGAAACTTTTCTAGAATACGTAAATAAAGATAGATGCGGAATCAATCGGACAATCCCAACTTGTGACAAAGGGCAATTGGTATATTAAACCAATCGGACAGAATCAATTCGTGGAAAGGGGCAATTGATATAGGTCGATGCTCGCCACAACTAGACGCGTTCTCTAGTTGATAAGAGACACGTACAATCTTCTGGAATCCTCGACAGAAGTCTTGCACAAAAGAACTCGTTCACAATGAACTAGAACTCAACTTTGATTAATAACTTGGATAATGGGTACAAAATTCGTAGGTTTTACACCCTCTATTTATAGAGGTCTCAAAACATAAAACTAACCTAAAAAAAATAGGAAAACAAATTCCAAACTAACTAGAAAACATAATAATTCATTAAAACAAATAAACTCCATAAACGCCGTGTGCTTCGCTTACTTCTCGTGGGAGGAATGGAATTCCGGTTCACTGCTGGTGGCGGAAGCAACTTCCATCTTTCCTTGTACTTTCACGTTGCTAGCTCATGAATAACCACCAACTTTCCATTCCAATCCCTTTTGTCTATGACCATGCACAGCAAACACCACCTTTATCAATTAATCCTCACGTTGCAATTTAATCCAATAATCACCATCTCCATTCCATGCTATGGAACATGAGGAAATTAAACTTGCCACGATCACCAATTGATTCTTAAATCGTAGAATTCTTGTTGTAATTAAACTTTAGCATAGGTAATTTCCCGGAATCCATCATCTTGTCAGATTATCAAAGGTTGATAGAGTTACCTGATTTCACGATGTAGACCGTCCGGATCTTGATGCGGAATCTGAAAGACGAACTTTGGCCGGACGATACTTCTAAGAGCACGACCCGGGAGATAGCGTGATCTTCCTCAACCAAGCCTCCATAGTTCCTTTACGGGAGAGCTCTCATCTTTCTGATGGGGAGATGATGAGATTGTTTGGTCTTGGTGTATTGGGGACCACAACCTCAAACTCCTTATATACTAGTTTCACATGGGCTCCCATAAAACCCAAGTGGACAAGTATTGGGTTTCCACCCATTAGACCCATATTGGGCTTGAGTAATCATGGGCTCCATGTATTGATCACTTATAGTTAGCCCATCAAAACCAAATAGCTAATATATGTATAGTGAATTTGCAAGCCCACTTAAGTGAGGAACTTAAATTCCTAACAATCTCCCACTTGGGCTGTCTAATTTCACGAACACTTATATTTCGAAATTCTATAGGCGCGCAAGCGTATGCTATTCGTACGATAATTACTCCTTGACAATCTGGTCCACCTCATGTATCAACTATGGAACCAACGCGGCTTTAATCACGATATGATAATGATTAAACCACCATGATCACCACACCAATACACTTAATGACATAGATCAAATATGGATGAGTGGCATGAAAATTACATGCAATGTGATCTTTAACATGCCTATCTTCAACTGGTCCAACTTTTGTCCTTAGTGCGATCAACTAAAATTCCTTCATACAATGTGACCACTGTATAACTGAAGAGACTTTAAATTCCAAAATAGACTATAGAAAACCATCACTTTATTCTGCAGAATTGATTTACTCATAATCTATTGAACTACTTAAATGACTCCCACTAAACCAAGGTACCATCCGGAATAACACTCATGTGAGCAATATGCTCATGAAAAAACTTTATGTGTCAAACCATTGGCTAATGGATAAGCTAGCATTAGTCATTTCCTTAATATTCAATAAAAACTTGTCTATTTTGAACTTTATCTTTAACCACCAGGAACTTGATGTCAATATATTTGACTTCTGAAATCCATGGTAATGATAGTGTATCACTATCAAATTATTGTCACTGTTAACCTTTAATAACTTATCAATGTCATTCTAGTGACAAAACTTTGCTACCATAATTGGAAGTCTCAAGATATGCTTTGAACTCTACCCAACACTGAAGGGTAACCTGATGTAGAGTTTATGCTACCTTGACATCCTGTAACATCAGAGTCAGAGTACTTGATGATCTCTAAATTATCTGATCTCTAACAAATTTGCATGAATTCTTTTATCAACTTTAGTAAACGCGCTACACGTTTGAATCCTTCTAGTGTTTCATGCATAGACCAAACAAATATCTGCCAAAGACTCTTACTAGAAATGCTTTATTGGGATGAGAATAAACTAAAGTATACATTAGATCTTTAATGCAAATATGCATTCAAGAGATTTTGTATCTTAATTTCTTATATATAATTGGGGCACTGATTGAGACCAAAACTGTCTCCCTTAGCTACAAAAAATATCCTGGTTTACTAACTTATTCTACTTGCACCTTAAGTAGAACAACCATGATGTATAAAACAGGAAAACGAATTTACTCCCACTGAACTTAAGATATACACAATCATCTCCAACATTAGTCTCTAAATCCGAATGAGCTAATAACAAGATGAATTTGTGATATCAATAATGAGAAGCTTATATGAGCCATCATTGCCATCATATTTCTAAAAGAGTCTTTCAAATATACCAGAGAGAAAGTCTCTTTGAGTCAATGCTTTCCTTTATGAGTAAAGCCTTTAGAGACCATTGTGCCTTATATATCTCTTTTACATCACCACATAGCATCAATCCACTCTTCAGAACTAGAACTGTGCATGACTAGACTAATATGAACCTGATCATTAGTCAACCTGACGTCATCCTTATGTTTAAAGAAGATACAACTGCTTTGTGGATATCCTAATTGATGGCATTTCTTGAGTTTGTTGAGTTTGTGCAGTAACAACATTTCCATATGGTTCCTTCCCCCCAAAACTCAATATACTCAAGAAATTTCTCATTTCTCATTAAAAAAAAAACTTCTTGATGTGAGATTATAAAACTTGTAGCCTCGAGAGTGCTTTTGAGTAGCCAACAAGGTATAAGTTAATTAATACGCCCCTGGGGGGTGTATCTTTATCAAAGTCACGCAGCTAACGACTCAATCGAAGAATCGATTGAGCTCGAATCAAAAACGAAGCATTCTTAATACGAACTTGGATAAAACGGAACCAAAAGGACAAATCCACACCTGGGGATAGCTCGATTGGTATAAAAGGGTAGTTGCTCGACCACGATTGAAGTGACTATTCAATCGATACACAAGCTCAGCAAGTTTGGAATCCACCAAACCCAAAACAAGTCGCAACTTGCACAAACCAAACGGTTTCTTTTCTATTCAACAAAGTCTGAATTTTACAACGAAATAGAACGATATTTAAAGGCAAATAAAACCTAATAGAATCATAGTATAACTAGGAAACAGTTAAGGTAAACTTCTACACTAAAAAGGACACAAAATTCGGGTTTAAACTTCTTTTCTTGAAGCACAAGTAAGCTGTCCGCAAAACAGTCAAAAGACAGCTTTCGTACTAACTTTGCGCCTTGCGTTTGAGGCCTTCCCGAACTCCAATATTTCATCCGATTCCTTCCCTTGGTAGATAAACATACCTAGTTTCATGTTGTGGAAGCCTTTTGACATGACTCCCATCCATGCTCCTTGAATTGAGCTCCAAAGTAGGCTTCAAAAAACAGTTTCCTGCCTTAGCCATTTTCTGGCAGTTTTCCAGTTTTGAGGTAGCAACTTTGAGGCCTTGGAAAATAACCTTAATGACATCTTCTGGATCCTCGAAGCATACCATTAGAAACATGACAACTTTATCTGTAAAACAAGCCCTTGAAAGCCAATTTTCAGTGAACCAATTGTGAGAACCATGCCTCCAAAGTAGGCATTTCGAAACTGTCCCAACACTTAAACAAATTCTGCCTTTCTTCTTCCCAACTTCGATAGCTTCTTTATCAAGTAATTGTGACGTGAATGGTTGGCAATTTGGGATCATATCATTAATTGTATCCTTTTGTCCATTATACCTTTTGTACCTTATAAGGTTTTCCTTATTTGGACAACTCTAAATGTGCAAGTACCTTATTGCACGTATTAGTTACATTAACTACTTTATGGATACTCAATTTAAGGATGTACGTTGTAATCTTTATGGCTTTTATCCAAATGGAGTCTAGTAAGTAGAAATACTCCTCACTATGTCCTTAAGAGTTCAACGAAACCATAACATCCTTAACTCTCTATTTGTTCCTTTACTGAGAATTTGAGGTTTAGTGATTGAGTTCAGTCTCATCTCGTATCTTCCCTCCTCTTCTTTTGTGAATATTAGTACTCACCTAAAACTTCATGGAGGAAGATAAATTAAACCAAGTGTTGAGTATCTCTTTTGACACCTCCAAAATATAATACACTTGTACATTTTGCCTTTACTTTATGGATTAAATTACCCCAATAGGCAGCTTACCCCGGATCCTTCTATGTTTTTGGCAAAATACTGTATTATTACTTCAATAAACCTCAGAGGCATCTCAGTATAATAGCCCCATAATTATTCATCGAATAGAGCGCTTAATGATCATCATGCACACTGAATTGGATATCTCTCTATTCGCTATTATTAAATCTCATTGAGATTTTCCGAAGTAGAATAGAGATTGTTCCACATAAAAGCGCAAGATCAATGTCTATATATCGAGAATAATTGTTTTGAATTTTACTTTAAATTCTTTAGATTCATCCCATTTAACAGAAGAGTTAACTTTATTTTCGACAGAAACATATAAACCAAAGCACGAAAAAACTATAATGAGATAAAAGAAAACACACATCAAGCCACGTAATTAAACAAGACAAGAACTTTACCAAATTTTTTTTTTTTTGGGAACCCATCATAAGATACCAAATGCAACATTAATTCTTAGTCTTTGGACAGAGAAATTAACTGCGAGCGGTACTCTTAATATAATGACCAAATACTGATAATAAGTTCCGTCAAACAACAGTCTATCTTTGGACCGACTGTTATTCACATGAACATTAACTTTATAATTATCACGTATTTATCATTAAGGTGTTTGATTACTCGGTCAGTTAGTGTCGTCCTTTGGGTCGATCACTACCCACATAAGTAACCTTACACGTTCATCCATGTAATCTAAGTTAAATAATTTTTCGCAAGTAGAGGTTACTTTGGCAACATACTGCTAAAATTAATTTAATTAAAATACTGGACAATTCTCTCATAATCACCGAATTCCAAATAAGTGATTAATTATCCTTAAAAGAGAATTACAACAATAATTATAAATAAAGGTTTACTCCATCTCAAGACACCTTGCACTCCATTAATATTTTATCTTTGGACAAAATATTAACTTGTAAGTGATGTCTTATGACATAGTAATTAAATATTGATGACAAGAACATATGAAATAGTAAATCCACCTTTGGGTCGATTTAAAATTCACATGCTGACCGAATAATCGTCACATATTTATTACTCTATGCGCACATATGGAACCTTAAATATTCACCTACCTTTGGGCCAGTGAATACATAATTTGCACGCGCTAAAATGTAAACCCTTACCATATAGGGATTTAAAATGTTCAAACCGACCCCAAAATTTGGTTTACTGAAATGAGGCTTATATTCCTCATAAACTAGTCTTGTTTACAAAATAAATTACGAGCCTTGAAATGCACAAAGTTAACTTAAAGTGCATTTTAATGATCCAAAGAACATTACCTAGCGGAAAAAACACACAAATAAATCGAATCCGTAAGGTTAATCATAAATCATAGTCGAATTTATTAGTGAACCCACTTATTATTGTTGCATGCCTTATTATAATAATAATAACAATAAGAATGGTGTAACCAGTAATAACCACACCCGACAACGCGCACTAGTCAAAACAATAATCCACAACAATAATAATCCATAATTTCCATACAAGATATCAATAATTATTATCATAGAAAATGCCAAAGGATAATAATCAGTGAAAGATAATAACTCGTAGATAATTATCTCCACCTTCTTCCGTAAAACCAAAACATAATTATTATAATAGTGAAAACGGAAATACTTAACAGCTGGAAAGAAAACGAATAGCTTTCCGTAACCGTAATTACTATTATAACAGAAACCAAAATAATCAACTAGAAGATAATAATTAATTAACCACTTCCTGCAACCAATTATAATAGTTAAATAATCCTTCCGTAACAGCCTCCCTTTTCCATCCGTAGTCTTGTAATTAAACAATAGTTCTTATTATTGAAACTAATGCAACCGTTACGGAAGGCTATTTACATAACCGGAAATTCTGAATGATTAATTAACTATTTAATTTTCCAATGCTTAACCGGATGATTAATTAATTATTAAAAAATTGTCATATAACCGTAACGTGGCTATGAAACCTTACGGTGAGAAATTGTAATCCCTATCAATTTTCCCACAACTGTAACCGAATGCCACAAAAATTAAGTATTAATTAATCCTTCTTCCGTAACCGTGATGATAACAATAATTATAACAATAATTCGCCATAAAGCTGTAATCGCCACCAACGTCTTTACGGTAGGGAAAGAGAAACGTTCGGAAGTAAAAAAAAAAACAACGAACGCCGGTGGATGGAAATTCCCAGCAACAAAAGGATTGATAATTATCAAAACGATCACAATAGCATGATCAAGGTATTACGCACCGAGAATATTAGGGATACAATTAATTAAATAAGGCTCCAATACTGCATTTGGGATTCTATTGAATAGTAGCATGCATATATTCTATTTTCTGACAATCATGCCCGAACCACATGCATGAAAGTGTCCAGAAAATTAAAATGAAGAATGAAACCATAATCATGCTTATAACTTATTTCGAGTAAACCCCAATGGTCTAAATAAAGAGTTCAACTAATTCATAAGAACCCATACACACAGATATTCTAAATGAATATGCACCCAGAAATTTCAAAAGAATGCAAACAGCAAGAATCACATATATAAACATAGGTATATCCGAAAACCCCAACAATCCAACAAAGATGACAGGCTCTGATACCACTTGTCAAAATCGGGGCTCTCAATTAGTACGATATTGTCCGCTTTGGGCCAAGCCCGCACGGATTTACTTTTGGGTGTCCTCCCCAAAAGGCCTCGTACTAATGAGATTGGTGGACACTAATATACAAGGGTTCCTTCCCTTGTATAACCGATGTGGTACTTGGATTGTCCCATAACAATCCTCCCCTCAAGCCAAGGACCACGAACATCGTGTCCTCACCTCAGTGATTATCTTGATCCGCCAGATGCCTTGTATCGATGGGCTTCTCGATACAAGGACTTTACCAGACGCAGAACTCTCTTTGATCTGCTTCACAAATGCGGAACTCTCTTTGATCCGCCAAGCCCAAACGTGGATCTCTCCTGGATCCACCAAACTAGATGCAGATCTCAAACCCCGAGGTAACCGAGCGAGGGTCCACCGAACTGACGTCCACCGCCCCGGATCTGCCAAACCAGGCTCTGATACCACTTGTTGTAATTAAACTTTAGCATATGTAATTTCCCGGAATCCATCATCTTGTCAGATTATCAAAGGTTGATAGAGTTACCTGATTTCACGATGTAGACCGTCGGATCTTGATGCGGAATCTGAAAGACGAGCTTTGGCCGGACGATACTTCTAAGAGCACGACCCGGGAGGTAGCGTGATCTTCCTCAACCAAGCCTCCATAGTTCCTTTACGGGAGAGCTCTCATCTTTCTGATGGGGAGAAGATGAGATTGTTTGGTCTTGGTGTATTGGGGACCACAACCTCAAACTCCTTATATACTAGTTTCACATGGGCTCCCATAAAACCCAAGTGGACAAGTATTGGGTTTCCACCCATTAGACCCATATTGGGCTTGAGTAATCATGGGCTCCATGTATTGATCACTTATAGTTAGCCCATCAAAACCAAATAGCTAATATATGTGTAGTGAATTTGCAAGTCCACTTAAGTGAGGAACTTAAATTCCTAACATTTGAATCTTCATTTTTGGACAACGGGAATTAAATATCATGCTAGTCGATATTGCATCACACATGAACCATAGATATTTTGAAACTAAATCTTAAACCTCACAATCCTACATATAGGTTCAATGCTATCCTTTACTAAGAACTCAGGTAAGAGGGGACCATCAAAACTTGAGAGCAAACACAAAAATTAGGCTTACCTCCAATATACTAATAGACTCGATCAAAGTAATAAGGAGCAAAATTATACACTCCTTCTCTATCTGTTCCAGTAGGTTGAATAAAGAATCAAACAACCTACTTCAGTAAATCAATCAATGATTCCTCGTTTAAAGATAGAAATAGGTTGCGATAGCAACAAAAATCATAAAGCTAAAGATTCAATAGCCACCACTCTCTGTTGTACTATAAAATTTTTATCCACTCTATCTTCAATCTCAAGATGCGTATGTTTCAACCAAAAATTCAATTTCTAATCCTCCTTCTGCAACTCCATTTATTGAACTCCATTCTATTCGCCATGGATTGATATCAGAGTTAAAATCTTCTACTTGCTCAGTTTAAATCCCCAACAATAAAATCGCAGTGCCAAGAGATATTGGACGATTGGTTTCAAAGGCGTCCTTGTACTATGAAGTGAAAGTGGCGCAAACTATTGCACGATGGAGGGATTTTTGAAAGAAGTTAGAAAGAGATAAGAACAAATATAAAAAAGTACTAAATTTAAATATAAATTGAAAAATACAATCACAAAATACGTAGTAATAGAATTAGTTCTTCCATGTTAGCCAATTACCAATTTACATTGAGCGAAAATTAAGTAGAGAGCAGTAATTTTACAATCGAGAAAACTACATGAAACTCAGTTATGAAAATTGCAATATCAAGCACCATAAAAATACATAGGGTAGACTTAGTGGGCTTGCTAATCGTGATGGAAAATTCCTCCAATTTTTAGAGTGTCACTTCGTGTATGTTTTATATTAAAAACATACAATAAATTTGTTTAGTGTAATTGGTTGTTTCTTGTCATTGTTTGAAGAGATCTGATTTTAAATTCTGGTATTGACATTTTTATATGGAATAAATAATTAATTGTAAAGATAAAATGCCCGCCTACTTTCACTCTCGTTGCAAGAAATTTGTAATAGAGAAAAATAGACAAAACTTTACTATATATTAATGGATGATATGTAAACAAATAAGATACAATTACTAAATGGAACTTTCTAGAATCACTCTCAGACCATGAACATACGTATTAATATTTTCTCTTCCATCAAGGAAGATGTGCTACAATTGTGAAACTAAACACATATTAGTAAAGGTAATACGAAAATAGAGCTGTGAGCTGAGTAACTATATTGGGATTTTTCCAGAAATAGCACTGTTTAAAAAAAATTCCAAAAATAGCACCCAACACCGAAAAATTCCAAAAATAGCACCCTTTTCCAAAAACCGCTCCCTACCAGTGCGATTTAGGCGGAAACCGCCACCCAGGGGCGCGTTTTTCGATGAAAACCGCACCCCCACCATGCGATTTGGTTGCAGATCGCACCCCCAGGGTGCGATCTGCTTTTTTTTTTTTTTTTTTGAAAAATCCTAACCTAGGTGGAAACTTCAAACGGACGTATCTTTGTGTTCGGGTATCCAATCGTCGCAAAATTTTTTTTTGATTCCGCATAACTTTTTGAGATCTTGCAAGCCAAAGGTGGTTTGGTCCCGCCTTCATCCCAAAAAATGTCGTTTGCTACCCCGAACGAGCTTTTTTCCGATTTCGTCAAACTTTGGAAAACCATAACTTTGTGCTCCGAAATCCAAACAACATGAATTTTTTTTTATTTCGCATAACTTTTTAAGGACTACAACTTTTATCATAGACACAATTTCAAAATTTACGTGGATTGCTGAGAAGGGAAGGTAAGCTATTCCCAAAATCCTGTATATCCAAAAATAATTCTTGTTTTGAAAATTCATTCTAGTAAAAATTGTAGTCCTTAAAAAGTTATGCGAAATAAAAAAAAATTCATGTTGTTTGGATTTTGGATCACAAAGTTATGGTTGTCCAAAGTTTGACGAAATCGGAAAAAAGCTCGTTCGGGGTAGGAAACAACATTTTTTAGGACGAAGGCAGGATCAAACCACCTTCGGCTTGCAAGATCTCAAAAAGTTATGCGGAATCAAAAAAAAATTCTAGACGATCGGATACCCGAACACAAAGATACGTCCGTTTGAAGTTTCCACCTAGGTTAGGATTTTTCAAAAAAAAAAAAAAAAAAAAAAAAACAGATCGCACCCTGGGGGTGCGGTCTGCAAAACTGCCCCCTGGGGGTGCGGTTTTCATTGAAAAACGCGCCCCTGGGTGGCGGTTTTTATCGAAAAACGCGCCCCTGGGTGGCGGTTTTCGCTTAAACGGCACTGGTAGGGAGCGGTTTTTCAGAAAGGGTGCTATTTTTGGAATTTTTCGGAGTTGGGTGCTATTTTTGGAATTTTTTTTTTAAACAGTGCTATTTCTGGAAAAATCCCAACTATATTTTGGGCTGGAATTTGGTGCCGGCCCGTAAGGAAAATATGGTACTTTTTTATTTATGAAAAAGAAAATATGGTACTTAATGTAACACCCGGTCCTTCCTTATATTTGAAAATCCTAAACTACCCTCCACGACTTAGTAATTGACTGACTATATATTTACCCTAAACTAAACCCTAAAGGAAATCCGAGGACTAAAGGCGGATAAAAGCCCTAGATCACACCATTGTTCTTCTCATAAACACCTTCCGCCAATCATCAAAGCTCGATCAGCGCAAGTTCTGGTAGCGGAGAAGGGATTGAAGGGAGCAAGGGAAAGAGAGAACGTGACCATCAGCAGCCTAGTCGAGGCTTTCGGTGTTGACAGCGCTTTGGAAAACATAGTTATTGACGATGGTGGAGAAGCTCATGACCACGACGGCGTGCGTAGAATGCTGGTATCAAGTACATGACATAAGGGCAGGAGATGACGGTGTCGCTGCCGCACGATGGCCCAAGATGAGGTTCGAATTCAGACTGGCCGATGGAGGTAAGGAGTTGTACCTTCCTTTTCACTTCAACTTAAGGACTCACGTAACACTATTGAATGCATAAAAGTTAAGCAAATTATGAAATGATCCTGCTGGGGAAAGTAGGTGGAACCTCATGCGTATGCATGCATGGATGGATGGATGGAATTATATGTGTGGAGAAATCCAAGTTCTTTTAGCAAATGTTGGTCGGTTCAGGTTCATTGTTTCGGTTCAGGTTCATTGTTCTAAGAAATTAGGGTGCGTCAATGAAGGTGTCAATAAGTCAAGTGGAATTTAACTATAGTGACTAACTGATGGAAAGCTGGGTACGATTGCTGCATTACAATTGGCAAGGCATGATTCTATGTTGATGTGGCACGAAGTCGAACAAATGCTATGGGATGCTCCGCGGCAGCTTTTGGGGATATCAAGAAGTGTTGGCGGGTACCAATTATCTAGTGGGGGCTGGATCAAACTCAGTCGGGATATCTGACAAAGTCAGTCATTTGAGAAATAAGGTGCGTGGTTAAAGGGGGTAGAGTAGTTCGTTATCATCCATTTACGTTCATGTTATGCATTTCAGTTCTTGTTTATGTTATTTTATTTCTTTATGCTTTCAAGTTAAGTTAATTTGTTTACGTTCAATCTTTATGTTAAGTATGCATAACATCATGAAGCATCAATAAACTACGTTGTAAGTCAAGCAAATACAAGTTCAGTTCTAAGCTAATCAAGTGCAAGTTAATAAGTTCAGATCTTCCCCTTGTGGGAGAGATCACCCTAAGTAAGTTCAAACTTCTCAAATTAAGGAACCAAGTATAAGGTTAAGTGCATCTCTCCATCGTGTGAGAGATTGATTCAAGCAAGTACGTTAAGTTATCAAGTTAATAAGTCCTAAAAAGATCAAACCTCACTTACTAGCTAAGCACGCGGCCACCTCACTTCCCAGAGTGAGGAAGTCCATGTATACTACCCACTCCTTTAGACAAGGAATCCATGTTCAAGTTCACGTATTAGGTACCCGACGGTCGCCTAGCTAGCGCGCAGTTACCTCACCTCCCATAGTGATGGAGGTCCATGATTATCATGTTATTCACCTCCCACAGTGATGGAGGTCCATGTTTATCACGTTTAGGTGGTCGGTCGAGGCTCGAGCTAAGTGGAGGACGAGGCCCCATGTTAAGATAAAATACGCAAGACACTTATGAAGTAAACAAGAATCATAAGTTCAAGGACTCCTAATAATATACCCAATAATGTACTTAAAGCATTGCATGTGCATGAGTGTCTGTTTATGTATGATAACGAAATTAGGATTATGACTGACCCCATCGCCCGGATTCAGGAATTGTAGAAGCTCTAGAGTATAGCAGAAGTTCAACAGTTTTGACAAGGATCAATGGCTGTAGAGGACTCCAGTGTGAAGATTTTAATCTCGTGTACTTAGTAGGGCTTGAGACTTGATGCACATTTATTAAAGATGCTTATGATTTCCTCTTATGCAAATTTCAAGAAATTGTTATTTGAATTTCAACATATTTATTATGGATATTTAAATAAAGTTTCCCGCTAATTTTTCCCAGTCTGTTTGGTTTTTATTTTGGTTAACGGTTTATCAAGGGCATTTTGGTAATAGTAGTACCCCGCCGGGTTAGGGTGTCACGTTTTGGTATCAGAGCCTGGTTCCCCCTCTTCTGCACTTGTTAAGTGAGATACTGGGAGTCGGTCTCAATGTTTTCAACGTTTCCTAAGGGGTTTTGCTGAACAGCCCAAAATTTTAAGGCATCAAGTTTCGTCCACTAACAAGTTCTAGAGTCCTAACATGAGATGGGAGTTCCTTAGTGGCTAGGACATGGCAAAATATCACTAAAAGTTGCAGCTAGCTAGTGTAGAAAGGGTAGAGCCATGATCTAGTTGACCATGAATTAGTTAGAATAGCTCAGGACACTAGCTTGATGATTTTGATAGTGGTGATCATTAGCATGGAGAAGATATGAGGGAATTTCACCAAGATCTACCACGAGGCAAAATCAATAGTACAAGGACATCAGCTATGGAGAACAACAAGGAGATCGACATGCATGGTTAAGGTTAAGATGGATTGATTGCATGCATAGTTGCTTGGAGTGGTTATCGCCTCACGTGTTTACATATTGGAGTAAATTAATATAATGGGAGTTACACCCTTTCTTGACCCTCTTACTGGATTTGAGTCGTAGGTTATGGGAGCTCGCTAGGTTGGAAGAGAAGATAATTACTAGCGTTGCTAAATGTTAAATATTTTGGCCATTCCTAATATTCTTCCAACGTGGAGAAATGGTTGAGTAGAAGAAATGAGTAAATGGGCCGGGGGACAACGCATAATACTGGTGGTGGCAACAAGGATTAAGCTAGCTCGCTGGAATCGTTCAATAGTTGTTGACACGTCGAACACCCAAACCACATCGAAGTAGGAGTAAATGACTTGGAGTTCAAGAAGATTCATAACCGGAGTACGATGAGGAAAAGCATGACAAGGACAAAGTAAATCACAGAGTTACCTTGCTTCAAGTTGCCGTTATTGGTTTAGTCACAGTGCCACCTCAGGTGAAGGCCTAATCACAGTGCGAGTCTTTCTTTTAAGTCGGGACGAGTATGAAAATACTCATAGTTAGGTGCTACGATGAAGTGATGACTGTCAGATTAGTAGCAATGGAATTTCGAGGACGAAATTTTTATAAGTGGGGAGGAAATGTAACACCCGGTCCTTCCTTATATTTGAAAATCCTAAACTACCCTCCACGACTTAGTAATTGATTGACTATATATTTACCCTAAACTAAACCCTAGAGGAAATCCGAGGACTAACTGCGGATACAAGCCCTAGATCACACCATTGTTCTTCTTATAAACACCTCCGCCGATCATCAAAGCTCGATCAGCACAAGCTCTGGTAGCGGAGAAGGGATCGAAGGGAGCAAGGGAAAGAGAGAACGTGACAATCAGCAGCCTAGTCGAGGCTTTGGTGTTGACAGCGCTTTGGAAAACATAGTTATTGACTATGGTGGAGAAGCTCATGACCACGACGGCCTGCGTAGAATGCTGGTATCAAGTACATGACGTACGGGCAGGAGATGACGGTATCACTGCCGCACGATGGCCCAAGACGAGGTTCGAATTCAGACTGGCCGACGGAGGTAAGGAGTTGTACTTTCCTTTTCACTTCAACTTAAGGACTCACGTAATACTATTGAATGCAAATTATGAAATGATCCTGCTGGGGGAAGTAGGTGGAACCTCATGCGTATGCATGGATGGATGGATGGAATTATATGTGTGGAGAAATCCAAGTTCTTTTAGCAAATGTTGGTCGGTTCAGGTTCATTGTTTCGGTTCAGGTTCATTGTTCTAAGAAATTAGGGTGCGTCAAACATATAATGATATATACAATCTTCAACACATTCAGTTTCGGGTATAGACTATAGACGATGGGCGTGTAGATAACTAAGCAGGGACAGATTTTGTCAAAGCCATTGCGAGAAAAACACGAACTGAATTGTAGCAGTACCACAATGGAGTAGAAAGACCGATCACCAACCCTTGACAAACCAGTATACAACTCTACCTTAAAAATCCCGTTATCAAAATCAATGTGTTACCCCTTCAACAATAAAATTTTACATCGGAAAAGGGCTTGAGAAACCTTGGGATTTTTCCAGAAATAGTACCTTTTAAAAAAAATTACAAAAATAGCACTCAGCCGAAAATATTTACAAAAATAGCACCCTTTTTTATGGAACGCACCTTAGAGGTGTGTTTTATATATAAAAAACACCCCTAAGGTGCGTTCCATAATCCTGGGCCAAAACCGCATCTTGGTCAAGCGGTTTCAGGTCTGACTTACAAAAACCGCTTGACCGAGGTGCGGTTTTGCCACACAAACCGCACCCCCAAGTGCGGTTTGTGTGTCAATTATTTTCAGACACCAGACAAGCAGCCATGCAGATTCACGGGCGTGGGGCTGCATGGCAGATGAAAAACACACCTCTAAGGTGCGGTTTTCATTGATGATTTTGCCTATAAAAGGCAGCCGGGAAATCTTCTTCTCTTCACACCTCTCCTTCCCCCTTTTCAATTATCTATTGTAGCTCCATATTTCTCTAGTGTTTTTGCGGTTAACGTTAACTCGTAAGTTTTTTTGTATTACTTTTTATTGTGAATTGTGATTTTTATGATATTAGTTGAAATACTGTTTTTTTTTTTTTTTTTTTTTTTTGCAGATGGCATTCCAAAAGTTCACGCTTCGGTTACGGTGGAATGGTTACACAGAAGAGAGCGGAAAGGGGGTCACCTACGTCGGTGGCAATTTTCAGAAAATAAAGGTCGCTACCAGACCGATGCTTGAAGACCTCTATCAAATGTGTACTAACGTTACTTGCATGGATGGCACGAGAAGAGTTGATCGTATGGTGTACCGATATCCAAACAGAAAAGGCGGGTCGTTGTGGCACGAGGAATATCTCATAACCACTCAGGATGAGGTAGATGCCATGCTCGAATTCTTGAGGTCCAACAAACTTTCCAAAGTCAAGATGTTCGTTTACACCGAGCTGGTCGTACGTGTTGGAGGTCATTCTGGAGACGGTCAAACATCTGGTATCCATGGTGGAGGTGAATTATATGGAGATCATCCCTACCAAAGTTACCATGATCCTCATTCCTATTTTCAGTACCAAGAGCAAGGTGAAGGTCATCATCAATCTTACCCGTCATATGAAGAAGAAGTTCAACCGGACCATGCCAACCAACCCAAGTACAACTTCCACTCAGGCAGTGGTAGTTTTCACAACTACCATTATGGAGCTTATGAAGGTGCCTTTCATGAGCTGGATCAGATGGAAGATGCCCTGCCAGCACCAGTCAGTGACCCCTCCGATGAAGAAGGAGAGAACAATGTCAGTGCAGACAGCTCCAACCCTCTTGAAGGTGCTGATGATTCAGGACCAGAGTCAGACTCAGATGATGATGATGAGGTTGCACATGACCGTGTACCAGTCCCCTACTACAATCACATATTCAAATGAATTAACATAAATAACATTGTAAATGAATAATAATTTAAAGAGAAACATACATATTCAAATGTTTGAAATTAATAAAATTCATTTTGTACACATAAAAATAAATCGTATTGGTTGTTTGGTAAATAATTTAATCGTATTGGTTGTTTTAAATAATTTAATCAAATACAGAGCAACACTCGTTAGACTCTTAGAAGAGGTATACATCTTCTTAGAAACACAGTCTTTTTTGACAGAAAAAGGGGGGATCTGAGGATCTCTTAATACCCGATTTTCCCAGAGAATGTGAGGATTTGATAATCGCTTAAAACCCCATTTTCTTAGTCGTGCATCTCTTTATAAAGAGTCGAAGTAAGTGACGCTATGTATTCGATTAAATTATTGAAAACAACCAATACGATTAAACATTCAACATAAATTTATTTTATATTCCACTAAATACATTAGCAAAATAAAAGAAAGACAAATGGTGAAGAATTGTATGTACCGGGTGATCGTTCCAAACATCCCTTGACCGATGGTTGGGTTGGTCGTACAAGTCGGTTGAATCCAACGGTCCTATATATCCACGTCGTCCCCAACCTACGAGAAAATAACAATGAGGTTAGTACATAGATTAATTAAAAAGCTTATAACAACAACAAAAATTAAACCAGAATATGAGTACGTACCACTAGAAATTCATCAACATAAACTCCCTCTCCTTGCCACCAATCGCTCATTTCTTTCGGGAAATTCAGACAAAGATTCGGCTAGGCTTGGCGGGTTTTGAGGAAAAAACCAAAATTCGGACAGAGATTCGGCTCGGCAGAGATTCGGTTCGGCGGGTTTTAAGGAAAAAAACCTAAGAAATGTTTTCTGATTACAAATCGGACTTAGCCGCAACCAACAGACCACTATTTCCTAGACTTTTGGGAGGGGAGGGTTTAGAGAGATAAATTCTAGAGAGAGAAGGAAGAATGGGTTGTGGTGTGAAGAAATGAGAAGGGAAGGGGGGGTATTTATACTTATCAGACCGCACCCTTCAGGGGCGGTCTGGTAATTTTCCCCTCGCAGAAATAGCTCCCTTCCGAAGCGGTTTGCGAGTCATGAGGCGCTGACCGCTCCTTGCAGGTGCGGTCCTCGATCCATGGCGCGGATCGCTCTGCTGGCGCGCGGTCCGCCTTCCGATCGCTCCTCCATCCAACGGTCTTGATGACCGTTCCGCAGAGAAAGCACACTGCACCTTCCTAGTGCGGTTTGCGTGCTGACGTGGCATGGAACGCACCCCTAAGGTGCGGTTTATAAGTAAAATGCACCTGTGGGGTTCGGTTTACATATAAAACGCACCTTAGGGGTGCGTTCCATTAAAAATTGTGCTATTTATGTCAATTTTTTTGGATGGGTGCTAGTTTTGTAATTTTTTTGGATGGTGCTATTTATTGATAGAGGTTGCAAGATTTTGGATATGGAGAGAGAACTGAATTGATCTTATTGATTGTTTTGTTCTCTTAATATACACAAGTTACAGGAGAAGAAGTAGGTGCACCATGCACGTAGGCACTTCCCACAAATGTAGCAACAGAAAAAGAGAGTGGGAAAAATAATAAACGAATAATGACAGATGGAAAATCATGTAGCTCTAATACGCCCCCATAAGATGGAGGAGGTATCTACGACTCCAATCTTGGCTCGTAGAAGAAGGTAGCAGGAGGACGACAATGGCTTGGTGAGGGCATCCGCCAATTGATGAGTCGTCGGAATGTATGAGACTTGGAGACGACCAGCTTGGACTAGTTGACGAACGAAATGGTAGTCAAGAGCAAGATGCTTCATGCGAGAATAAAAAACTGGGTTGGAGCTGAAATATGTGGCACCAAGGTTGTCAGAGTAAAGGGTAGGAGCCGCAGACAGCGGGTGATGAAGCTCAGAGAGAAGGTTCTGCACCCATTCACCCTAAGCAGCCGCATTGGCCAGGGAGCGATATTCAGCCTCTGTACTGGAGCGAGCAACAATGCGCTGCTTCTGTGATCACCAAGAGATAAGGGTGGTGCCGAGATAGATCAGATAACCAGACGTGGAGGAGCGATCATCCAAATTGCCTGCCCAGTCAGCATCCGCAAACCCAGAGAGAGTCAAGGAACCTGGAGAACGAAGGATGGAGAGACCATAGGTAAGAGTGCCAGAGATGTAGCGCAGGACTCTTAACACATTGCCAATGATGGGTGGTTGGGTCATGCATGTATTGAGACAGCTTGTTGACGGAATAGGCAATGTCAGGCCGTGTGTAGACCAAATACTGGAGGGCACCAAGGACCTGGCGAAAGCGAGTAGCATCAGTGGGCGGACTGCCATCAGCGAGAGTCAGAGAGGTGGAGGCAGCGAGCGGAGTATCGGCATCAGTCATGAGGAAGCGATGGAGAATGTCGACCATGTATTTATGTTGAGAGAGAATATAGCCTGTGGAAGTGGGAATCACCTCGATACCAAGAAAGTAGTTGACATCTCCAAGTGCTTTAAGAGAAAACCGAGCCAAGAGAGCTTGTTGAAAAGAAGTAAGAGTGACCTGATCGTTGCCGGTGAGCAATAAATCATCGACATAGACTAGAAAATAGAGGAGAAAAGATTCACGAGACTAGACAAACAGAAAGGCATCGGAGTGAGTCCTAACAAAGCCAAACTCGAGAAGAAAGGCACTCAAAGCAGTGTACCAAGCACGAGGAGCCTGACGGAGCCCATAGATAGCCTGACGGAGACAGCAAACATGATGCGGGCGAGAGGGGTCAACAAAGCCAGGCGGTTGAACCATGTAAACCTCGTCCTGAAGAAAGGCATTGTTAACGTCGAACTGAGCAATAGGCCATGATTGAGAGAGTGCCAATGTGAAGACAGTCCGAACAGTAACAGGTTTGACAACGGGACTGAATGTGTCGGTGAAGTCAAGACCCGGGCGCTGATTAAAACCCTTGGCCACCAACCGTGTCTTGAATCGAGAAATAGAACCATGAGGATGATGCTTGACACGATAAACCCATCGGTTGCCAAGAACATGATAATGAGGAAGACGAGGAACCAGATCCCAGGTAGAGTTGCCGAGGAGAGCCGAATGTTCGGTGTGTAAGGCAGTCGTTCCACTCTAGATAGCGCATGGCCTCATGAACAGACCTGGGCTTAAGAGGTGGAGGGCCAGGAGCAAGTTGAGTATTAAATAGTCTCTTCTTGGGTTTGAAAATGCCCAGCTGGGCTCTGGTCCGCATGGAATGAGTGCGGACAGGAGGGGGAGGAGGCCCATTGGGAGCGGATGGCCCACTCGGTGGCGTGGCAGGGGCCAGGAGCGAGGAGGCGGGCCTGGGTGGTGCGGAAGAGGGCATGGGCCTAGGGGAGTTGATGACGGGCCCAGGCGCTGAAGGAGGCACGGGCCCAGGGGAGCTGATGACGGGCCCAGGCGGGGCAGGCAGAGATACAGGCCCAGTGGAGGATCCGCGCGGGGGAGATGATGCCGAAGGGGAAGCTGGTGGTGGCGATGGGCCGGGTGGAAACGGGCCTGGAGGTGGGGAGCGTGGTGTAGCAGTAGGCCGAACTGGAAGAGTAGTTATAGTAGGGGAAGTATGCAAAAGCCAAGCACCAGCAGAGGAGGCAACGGCTGAAGGGATGGAAAATCCTGGGAATTGAGACTCAACAAAATCAACGTGTCTGGAGAAAAAAAGACGGTGATTTTGAGAATCAAAACACTTGTAAGCACTCCGTTGAGGACAATACACAAGGAAAAGACATGGTCGAGAACGAGGATCAAGTTTGTGAGAAGAGTATGGGCGTAACCAGGGGTAGCATAGGCACCCAAAAACACGAAGTTTGTGATAATTAGGGGGAAGATTGAAAATAAGAGTGTAGGGAATTTTACCACGAAGAGCGGAAGAAGGAAGTCGATTAATGAGGTAGACAGCAGTTGAAAAAGCAAACGACCAAAACGAAGTGGGAAGGTGAGCATGATGAAGAAGCGTGATACCAGTTTCAACTAAATGTCGGTGTTTGCGTTCAGCAAGGCCATTGTGTTCGGGGGTATGAGGTGGGGTGAGAAGATGACTGATGCCATGACAAAGAAGGTCTGACAGTAACTTAATGAATTCACCACCACCATCAGTATAAAGACGACGAATGGTAGTAGAAAAATAGTTTTCAACCATCTTCCTAAAGTCAAGAAATACTTGTAGCACATCAGATTTTTTGTGAAGTGGATAGTACCAGGTGTAGCGAGTAAAATGATCAACAATAATCAAGTAATAATGGAAACCATCAATGGATGAAACCAGAGCAGGCCCCCAAACATCCATATATAACAAATCAAATGGCCGAATACTAGTCAAAGAAGAAACTGAAAAAGGCAGTTTATGACTTTTATTGGAAAGACACGCATCACACGGAGAACAAGCTAGTAATGTCGAAACAGGAAGAGAATACGAACGAATGAGACTCGTGAGTGAAGACTGTGAGGGATGGCCAAGACGGACATGCCAGGAACCAGCTGAGGTGCAAGTGGAGACCAAAGCCATGCGAACCGCATCCACCTCCCGAGGAAACTCGTAAACATCACCGTTGTTTTACCCCCTCAGCAAATGCGCCCCCGTGCGAAGATCCTTCACAAGAAAATGAGTGGCAAAAAATTCCACCGAGACAGGATTAGTTTGACAAAGCTTAGCAACTGAAGTAAGATGCTTTTTGATGCTCGATACACACAAAACATCATTCAAATGTAAAGGAGTTGGCCCAAGAGAGACAACAGAAGACCCAATGTGAGTAATGGCCAAACCTGAACCATCCCCAACCATGATTTCATCCGGTCCAGTATAGTCGGAGTAGAGTGATAGCTGACCCAAATCTGGAGTGGCATGATGAGAAGCAGCAGAGTCCATCAGCCAAGGCCCAGCGCGGATGAAGAGCTCGCATGAGTAGAGTTGGGAGAGACGAGAGAGAAAGTAAGAAGAAAAGGGAAATCAGAGTTGGATCACAAGTTGAACGTAACTTGCTCTGATACCATGATAGAGGTTGCAAGATTTTGGATATGGAG